CATATTGATATTTCTTGTGAGAATATACATTTAATTTTGTTTTGTATGAGTGCTAACGGTCACTACATACCCAGATGTTTCGTATGTCCTAGTCAAAGAATGAGAAGCTTATTGTGAATGTACCAGCTGAAAGCATCGGTGTGGATGGATAAATAGTGACTTTTTTTTGCAATATCTATGAATATTCATCAAAGACACATGTGCAGGCATTCCAGAGTGTGGAGATGGCTACATATATGATCAATTCAGGTTATTTTGAAATGTCCGGTACTAGGTGCCACTGTTTAAAATCATATTTTTTGATACCAAGTTTGATTGATAGCATTAATTATTTTTTAGCAAAGATTGCGGTTTTGTTAATTTAGTTTTGATTTCTAACTTCGTTGTCTAACGTAAATCATAATTTAATAAACATTTCGTAAAATACTTTTTGATTTATTTAAAATAACCTTAGGTGTCCGCCTCTAGGAGACTTCCCCTATTGCATAAAGTGCAATACATTTCAAATATGGTTCACCATGATAAAATACAGCTACTGGTTTATCATTGTTATCAAGTATTATTTCCATTTACCTGTTAGCAGTTAGTATAGCAGGGAATTTATCAGCAACAAACATATGAGCATGTTCCAACAATGACAAAGTAAGTGCTTCAACTCGAGTAGCCCATCGTGTTTCTGGTAGTTCGCTTAGCAAGCATTCACAATCCAGAACTGTACCCAAGACGTTTTCAGGACTCTGATCAGAGAAACAAAACTAGTTGTAAGAAGCATTTTACCTGAAGGGGCACGTTGAATGAACTTCTCGACATGTGTAAATAATAAATAAGAACATATGTAACGCCTTGAACGATCGTCGCGCAAAACTGATAAAAGCGAATCTCTAATCGAGTTGTATTAAATGGCTATTAAATTTGATTATGTCAAATTATAAATTTGATTGGAACTAAGATTATGGTAAAAGTCTATGCTAAAGTGTTCTTTTTTATTTGAGGCCATTAAACTACGAAGTATCTTTCCAAATGGATCCTAACTATAATATCTGTTGAATCATGTCTTTTTTTATTGATGGTAACTAAACTATAAAGTATCTTTTAAAATAAATCCTAACTATAACTATCTCTTTTCTTATTGGAGGCCACTAAACTGAAAAGTATCTTTTAAAATAGATCCTAACTATAACCATCTCTTTTTTATTGGACGCCAGTAAACTGTAAAGTATCTTTTGAAATAGATCTTAACTATAACTATCTCTTCCTAACTATAACAATCTCTTTTTATTGGCGGGCACTACACAAAAAAGTATCTTTTAAAATAGATCATAATACAACCATCTCTTTTTTATTGGAGGCCACTAAACTGTAAATATCTTTTAAAATAGATCCTAACTATAACTTTTTTATTGGAGGCCACCAAACAAAGAAGTATCTTTTAAAATAGATCCTATCTATAAAAATCTTTTTATGGGAGGCCACTAAACTGATAAAATCATTTAAAATAGATCCTAACTATAACCATCTCTTTTTTTTTGGAGGCCACTAAACTGAAAAAATATCTTATAAAATAGATCCTAACTATAATCATCTCTTTTTTATTGGAAGCCACAGTATCTTTTAAACTAGATCCAACTACAACCATCTTTTTTACTGGAGGCCACTAAACTGAAAACTATCGTTTAAAATCCACGTTATTTTGAAAAAAATAAATTTCACAAATGAGAAGGAGTGTCATCCCCCGAGGGTGGCAGCAGAGTCCAAATTGTTTTCACTTTTGAACTTGAGGATAAAATGAACCAATTTCAAAATTTCATGCCAATCAGAGCACCGTAAAAAAATTCAGACCCAAAACGCTCCTTTGACTGGAGTATAACAAGAGATAGAGCAAAAATGAATCCAAAGCACTTTGCCAAATATTCCACATCTATAACATTCACATAAAAAAAAAAAACAAAAAAACTAAAGTAATCTGGTAATCTGCAATATCAAGAAGTCTAAAACAGCTTCATACATCAAAAACATATTCAAAATGTTTAGAACATCTTTATATAGTCAATCTTTTTAATAAGCAATCTTTTTAATCCACGGGTCAATTTGTGGCAAGCAGTACATATTAATAATTGTCAAAGCTTGAAATAATACTAATAAAATATAAGCATTATAATATGAAAAATTATACCGTTAACGAGGTGCAAGTGGCATTAATTACCAGTAATAATTTGTATATGATCTAGCTCTATAAAAGCCTACTTGTTAACCTGTATAAGTGTCCACCTGTTTGCTTTTCTAGCTGTTTACCTGTACTTTCCTACCTATGGACCTGCCTACCAGTCAACTTTTTACCCGTCTAGCTGTGTACTTGTCAACCTGTTTATCTATGTACCTTTTAAGTATCTTTTAAAATAAATTCTAACTATAAACCATCTCTCTTTTACTGAAGACCACTAAACTGAAAAATATCTTTTGAAATAGATCCTAACTACAACTATCTCCCTTTTTATTGGAAGCCACTTAACTGTAAAGTACGTACGTAAAGTAAGTCTTTTAAAATACAGTAGAACCTCGATTATTCGGACCTCGGTTATACGGATTCGCGATTATTCGGACATAATCGCGTCGGAACTTGCATATTCTGATGTGCATATATACATTAATATATTCTCTATTTTGACGTGCATATATACATTTTTAAAGGGTGGTGTTATCCCTTACATATAAAATAAATATTATAGAATCATTAAAAAGGCGAAACCGGCCGTAAGTTAGCTGATAGGTATAGTGTAGTGTAGATACATCCACTATAAGCGATATTAAAAAGAATGCCGCTTCAATTTTGTCGTACACTTGCAAGTTAGATAGTAAAGAGGGTAGTGAAAATCGGAAAATGCTGAAGAGACCAAAAAATGAACTCTTAGAAGAAGCTCTATATTGTTGGTTTTTACAAAAACGATCAACAAATTATTTGTAAGCAACTTTTTTTCTTCATTGATACTTTACGTACCACCTGAAGAATATTTTAGCTCATGTTAATATACTATGTATAATGTAATCTAAGAAAATATGTAAGTGTTAATTTTCTAATAAACATCGATTTTTGTTGATATCTATGTATGCATTTGTTATTTTTGATGAACAAAACATTATTCTTCATAATTTGGATTATCCGGATTTTCGATTATCCGGATGCCTATCGACGACAATTCAACAAAGTCCGGATAATCGAGGTTCTACTGTAGATCCAAACTAAAACCATCTCCTTTTTATTGGAGACCAGTAAACCGTGATATATCTTTTAAAATAGATCCTATCTATAACCATCTCTTTTTTATTGGAGGCCAGTATCTTTTAAAATAGATCCTAACTATAATTAACTCTATTTTTATTGGATGCCACTAAACTGTAAAGTATCTCTTAAAATAGATCCTATCTATAACCATCTTTTTATTGGAGGCCACTAAACTATAAGGTATTATTTAAAATATATCATAACAATGACCTTAATTTCAACTCTTCAACAATACAAGTTTTGCCCCACAAATTTAATTCTTTAGCATTGACAAGAAAATTACAATTCTCTTATCCTTAATTTTTATCTCACCAGATGTGCAATGATGTGTCTCCTGGCCCTTTCCATCAAGTCCGTGGACAGTGTAGCAAAAGGCCTGGTGGGCCACACCCTCAGGAAGTGCCTGCAGAGCCATCGGACGCAACGCGCGTGCAGTTCGTCCAGGCCGTGACCAGCCGCAAGAGGCAGCACCATGCACACTCCTGCTATGCACTCATCGCAGGGCTAAAATGGACATAGTTTTGATAAATATTAGGATATTTAGTTAAACAAAAGTTACATTTTGGACATTATAAGTTGAACATTTTACCTAAACAGCTCAATCTCAATTCTTATCAAGTAAGTTGATTATGTATATGTATGGGAAAGTTTATGCAACTTGCCTTAAGGTAAAATGGCGCTTACACCTAGTTCATTAAATGTATAGTATTTTTTCTACTCACTTTGTGAAACATATGACAATAAGTCGACTTCAAAGCATGTGATGTAACTTCCTTTAAACCTTCCAGACCCAAAAGATCAGCTAGAGAAGCCAGCTCCTGCAAACTGATACCCTCAGGTGGTCTCGTAGCACCAGAATAAATATGGCACAAAGCAAAATGCACAGCTCCATAAGTATAACTTAAAAAAACATGATATTTACAAATCAATTATTATTATTATTATGTTTACAAATCTATTATTATTATTTTACCCGTCCATGACAATAACATTTCCTCTGGTCTCGACTTCATTGCCAGCAAGAGTGGCAGCAAAATATTGACATCTTGATCTCAAAATGCATTTGTGAGCTCGGAGAACACGTCCCGACACATCTATTGAAACGTCTGGACTTATTTCTTCCAAAAACATTCTCAGTAAGTCTTCACCCAGACGACGTGGTTGCCTGGACAAACTGTCTTCTGCACTCAGATCTGAAATAGGAAAGAAATTGATAGTAGAACATATTTGTTATAGAATGGTTTTTAAATACAGTTTTTCAGGTCAGCTCTGATTCTTTTGACATTAAAATTGTAGAAATATTAGTGAGTCAAAATTTAATATAATAGCGATAAGAACTCGCATTGTTTCTATACAATGTTGTGGCCCATTCCATCCAGAGATGGTGCCAACAATATGTAGGTTCTTTCTGCTGCTAGCAAAGCTGTTACCAATCTGTGGAGGCTGATCAGTGAAACAGACGAAGACGTTTAATTTATTTTATTTCTTCTGGTACACTTTACATATAACCTGAACAACTGAATAATTGAGTATGATTGATTATGATTAACTAAAATACGACTCCATTGATAACTAAAGTACGACTGAACTCATGATCGACTCAAGAAAAAAAACAAGTGCAAGACTAAATTACGACTGAACTTATAGAAAACTAAATGACTACTCAGCTTTTGATTGACTAAAGACCGAGTACTAACTAGCTAAAGACTGCGTCATTGCAAGCCTTTTATGTGCTTGCTTCAGGATAACTTTGAATTCCTAGATAACAATATCTCATGGCTTGTTCAATGTCGTTGTAGAGTGCAATACTATGCTTTACAATAGATGACTAAGAATACATTGTGCCTTGTGCTCTAGAAAGGAATTTTATCAATAACTTCTGGGCTTGTCAAGGATATCTCGAGCTTAGGGGGCGTCCATTAATCACGTGAGCGAGTTTTTAAGGATTTTTGGACCCCCCCTACCCGTTGGTGATATATGGTGATATTCAAAATTACTCCCCTCACCCACCAAACATCACGTATATTTTTAATTACGTGATAAAACTGTATTTTTTTTAAAAAAAATTTAAAATGTTTGAATTATTTAAAAAAAAAATCAGTTAAAAAATAAATTCACGTGATATCTTACTATACCCCTCCCTTCCCCACGTAATATTTCGTGATTTATGTCAAACCCCCCCTCCCCCTAAAAACCTCACGTGATTAATGGACGCCCTTACAATGTTGTACCATATGAGTAATTCACCAACTACGTTGTTTGCCTTCTGACCATTATATAGTGGTTTATAATTATATTTATAATATTACAAACGGATGCATACCCTTACAACATTTAAAAGAACAAATAAATATTATAGTAAAATATTATAAGATACAAAGAGTGTACTTTATTAATAAAAATGCAATAATTTTTGAGAACCCTCGCCCTTAGAGCAAACATCTATCTCACACCTATTATAAAACTTTTTTTTATGATTCTTGAAAATATTATCTAAATATATCAGAATTCCAAATTCTTAAAAATATATGTTTAATAAAGAATTATGAAAAACAATAAAAAAAATGAATAGAAATAATCAGAATTTTTTAGAACGATGAATTATGAAAATGGAGAATATAAATATACATGATTATAAAATTCATTATTTTTACCGAAGAAGGGTTATGTTTTGGCAAAAAATTACGATTTGCTTGCTATTTATGTTTTCTCGACGTTGCAAGTCATTTTGAGTAGAATGAGACCAAATTTAGAAAAAGTATGTAGAGTCGATTTTTGACCTTCGTCGAAGTTTCCTCAAAACAGCTGGACCGATTTCAAACGCCGACGATTAGCCAAGTCGTTTCCTTGTAAGTAGCAGAAAAGTGTTAAATTTTTCGTTAACATTTTAGCCCACAATCTTAAACTGATCTATAGTCTGAAGTAACTTATTAAAATATTACGATAAGCAGTTTTATTATAGAAATTTACCAAAGTTTGAAATTAAGCGTGCTTAAGCGATTCTAATAAGAATCTATGCAGGGAATATCATATTGGCGTTTTGTTTTATTTTGTGTTGTGTTGAATAGTCGGTACTATTGATTACAGTTGACGTTCACGCTTAATTAGAATACATATTTAGAACAAGAAATAAATGAAATAACGAAATAAATAAAACAGATATAATCAATTGGAAATTAGCTTTAATAATTTTTTGCTGAAAGTGAAAACTTAATTTTCAAAAGAAACAGGTGAATTAATTTGATCTAAATAGCTGAATAACCTCAATTCTTATTGGTTAGTTGCCTTCAGGCAAAATGCTACTTAGTTAATAAATTAAAATATGTACTAAATACAGGATCCATTTCGACTTGGGGCAAGTTGTATGAACTTCCAGACATGTGCAAATATTCAATATGATGTAATTAATGAGATTAATTAATTAATGAGAAAAAACTTCAAATTGGGACGATAAAATTGCCAATACTTCTCACAAAACTAATTAACTCGTTCTTATCGGGTTGTTTAAAACGAATTTTGAATTTTCGAATACGGTCCAACCGCTTTTTGGATAGAAAGTAAAAAAAAATGGCTCACATTCAAACACAAGCACATAGTTTTTCCAAATTTCGTCACTCACATTCAAACACAAACATAAAATTATCAAATATAATTTTCTGGCAAAGTTAAACTTCTTCCTTGGGGAAGTTGAAAAACTTCATCAACTCACCCATTCCTGATTTTCCCATGCTGGAACTCAAACTGGAACCAACACTGATGTCTGAGGTGAAGTCATCGAGTTCCAGAGGACTACGATTAAAATGCATGTTGACATTGACACCATTCGGTAAACTACTACTGAAACCTAGAAATAATAATAAAAAAAACATTATCACACTTATTTAATTATTATAAAATTGAAATAATTTTTTTATTTTTTACCTTAATGGCACCCAATAAAAACCACTTAACACTATCAAAAGGCATCAAAAACTATATTTAAAAATATCAAGAAAATGCGTCTTCACTCCTCTACGTACTATTTTGAACTGAACATTTTCATAACAGATTTTTCATTTTATATGTATGTTCATAGTCTGTAATCAATTTGTAAAAGATGTGGGCTATCTGTGACCCTATTACTATGCATGTTTATAACATGTAATCCTTAGTCAATATAAAAGTAGATTTTATTTGATAAATTTAATAAATAAAAAAAATGTAAGACTCATGCAATACTAATATCTGTTTTTAAATTTTTTGTATTGGGAATTGTTTTTTTTTTTTTTTAATGCAAACTGATTCTGCAACCAATTTTCTTTCCAGGTTATCTGACAGTATGTGTAAAATTGTAGGTGAGGAATGAAAAGCATGTGTCTGATTATATTTTAGGAAAAACACGGACAAAACAGTATATATACGGCCTTATTTAAGAATTTGGCTAGTTTTAGTAATGTTTCCGCCATAGATAAGGAAATTTTCCGCGACTGTATAATTTTAAAAAAGCCATAATAACAATCATGCCAGATATTGAACGTCATTGTCATATTCTTGTAATGCCTTTGAAAGTCTATTTTGAGGGTGATATTCTCATGTTTTCTGGGGACTTAGTTATTTGTTATTATCAACTTACCGTAGGGTAAAGTTATAATAATCGCAAAAAAGGAAAATGAAAATTTTTATATGCCTTTACGTTTCAGAGGTTTCTGAACAATTTGGAGTACCTTTAAAATGGATATATGTAAAAATTGATGGATGTGTGCGTGTGTTTGTTCTGTAAAGTTTTTTTTTAAATTTAGATTTCGGGACGGAAAGTTCCAGCAATTTGCCTTAAGGCACGATGCCATGCACCAATAGTTTATATTAGAATCAATGAACTTATGCGAGTTCTAGTGATTTTGATCAATTTTATTGCAATAATCAAGTGTTTAACGGAATTTTGTTTATTTATCAATTTTTTCAGACAAAATTACACACTTATACAATATACAAAATGACAGTGCTATTCGTGAGCACCACAAGGCTATTCATTCGATACCAGAAAATAGAAAATTGAGATGTTTTTTTACCTCCAACTCTAACTACTTCTAAAACATAAAGGACTCAAGAAAGTGTAAAAAAAGAGACCTGCATCTGTTGCAAAAATCTCTTTAAGCAGTTAATGTGTAAAACGCCTGCATGCACAGCGAATACATGACATTTTGACAGACACGAAACCATCTGGTGGCGAAACGGAGTTCGTCGGGTTTGCTAGTATATATATATATATATATATATATATATATTAGATATATTATAATATATTTTATTACCTTTGCTCAAATGAGGAAACAGCCTGCTGAGACTTCTAGAATTTTCTTCAGATGTGATCAAATTAGTGTGATTCCCAATAGACCTCGACATAAAATACTTGTTCTCATAATTATTAGCAAATAATTTATAAACCCTATTCGAACCTGTGGAACTCGACATCAGTTTATCATTAACCAGATCCACTTTTGGCAAAGGCTTATCCAAATCCGACAACCTGACAAATTTACCAGAATCCGTCATCACCGTATTCATCTCTGTGTTTTCTGAAACAGTCGCTAACAGCTGTTTTTGTTTTTCTATCTTGGCTTGTAAGGTTTCCATAGTATGGGCAACGTTGTTGATGACTTTGTTGTTAGGAGACTCATCCTCTGGTAAATTTGAAGTGTAGCCTATTTTAACACCTTGAGGAGTTTTGACTTTATCCTTGCTCCTTTTCAAGTATTCATCACTATCCAAGTTTAATGTATATCCTATTTTTGGAGCAGGTTTAGACTCGGTTACAACTGCAGCTTCAACAACTTTTGTATCATCCACAACTTTTCCATCAACCGTATCAGGATTCTGCTCGTTCTGGTAAGTCAAATCTTCATCAGTGTCAGTCAACACACCTTCAGTCTGCGATCCTGGACTACTTTTATCAAACGTTTCATTTATCTTACAATCCTTTTTATGTTTTTTATTAACATCGCTCATTCTAGCGTAGCCGCTGCTTGATCCTGAACTCAAACCAGAACGTCCAGAAAAGTCGCTCAAGTTTGATTCAATTGAATAAGTGGAGCCAACTTTTGATTTTATTAAAGTTTGTGGAAGACTGTTTTCTGAAACGCTTTGGGCACGTTTGTGGAATCTTTGTGGCGGTTTTGGTGCTTCTGGGAGGTTCCAGGAATGCCGCTTAGTTGATTCATTGATGTCCATGTTTGGTAAAGTGTCTTCAAGTTGTTTGACAATTGGAACATTGTCTTGATCAACTGGTTTTTGTTTTTCAACGACGGTGACGTTAACTTCATTTAAGGTTTTATTTATATTTGCTTCACCATTTTGTTGATTTATTTCCAGAGGTTCCTTAACAAATTCAGGCGCTTTCAATTGTTTTAAGTTTATCTTGTCTCTTCTACGTATTTGAATCAGCCCATCAGCCTTGCCATCCTGTGCACTGCTATCCAGAAAACTAGTAACTTTCTTATCATCCAAATTACGTAGACTAAGAAACGTTGTTGTCCCATTTTTATTTCCATTTGCTTCACCTGTTGACTTTTGTGAGTGTTCAGGAGTTTTAATAATCTCCTTTTTACCATTCCGTCTCGGCAAGAGTTAGTGTTGTCTCTACCTAAACTTCTAGCCATTCCCTGTTTAGATTTGGTTGTTCCATTGACTTCAACAGCAATACTTTTTGATCGTGCTCTCTGGTGTAAAGACATAGCCAATCTATCAGGGATGCTTTTGACACACTTTTCTCCAAAATCTATGAACATTGAAAACATAGATTTGTCGGCAGATGGAGGTGTTTTTGGTTTAGCCGGTTCTTCACGAGATAAGTCAATAAAATAACCCAATGATCTTTTCTCCTCTGAAGAACTTCTGCCTTTGCTTTCGTCGCTGGAGTTGTCACTATTTGATTTTTTATCGTTAAAATCGACGAAAAATCCTAAAGAAGATTTATGTGAAGACGTAGAGTCGCGCCTGGATGTTTCACGATTCAATCTCGAATCCAAAGAAGAAGTGCTGGAACAGTCACTCACATCAACAATCCAAGCACAACTTGTCGACAGCTTTCTTCTTTGTTTTTCTTCAAATTTCTCTTGCACTTCGTAAGCAGCAGATGCTCCTGACAAAATAGGAGTAGCGTCGAATTTTTTTCTGATCAACGGACTTGCACGAATCTTAGGAACAAAATCTTTAACACTCGCACCACCTGAAATAATAGGTGACGCTTCTGAGTACTTTTGGGTTTTATATGGTGAATCCTTACAGTCAACTTCGATTATCGAATTATGTGGTGTATCAGGTAAAACAATATTGTCTGTGAGAAAGTTTTTATCAATTACAACAGGTGCTTCATCTGATGCATCAGTATTTGATGAATCGTTTAATGTAAAAGTTGTGTTAGCTTTTGTGGATTCCAGTTCATTGTTGGTGTCAGAAGTTGTAGATTGTGTTGAGTCGGCTTCAAGATTTTCAATATCCAAACACTTTGCGGTCATATCATCATTATTTTGTTGCAGGTCGTTTAAAGGACTACTCGATGGCGTATCCGAACTTATTTTATCAACAGTCAGCCTACACATTTCAAACCGAGTATGAAAATCTAAATCTTGTTGTTCGAAAAACTCTGTCACACCATTACGCTCTGAATAACTGTTTGATTCCGAGGTACTTGAATCTTTGTGTTTATTTTTCTTTATTGTTTTAGTTTCAAAAGACTCCGACACTGATAACTCGTTTTGAAACTTATCGGGCTTAAAAATATTAATAGGATTGGAGTGATTGAAGTTTAATGATGTCGGTTTAATTGTTGAAGTACCAGCTTCATAATTTGTATGCCAAACGTCAACATCATCAACCAAAGATGCTGCGTCTATAAAACAAGCATTATGTTTAACAGGCGTGGAGTGTCTTGACACAGGATAGGATCTATAACCTGTATTAACTTTTATTTTGCCATCTCGTGAGCAAAAATCTTTCTCGTTCATAAGAAACGTCGCACACATTTCTCTAGCTTCTTGGTTGCTCCTCATAGGAAAAACGCTCTCCCACGATCCAGTTTCAGAGGAAATCGACGAAGATTCCAAATTAACAATCTCTTCGTTCTGTCTCTGCTTCTCTTCTTTAGTTGAAGACTTAGATATCACTGAATGTAAACTTTGATCATACTTTTTATTCTGGTCATCCGTTAAGTACATAACATCCTCCATCATGAATTCATCAGGTGTCATATCAGCTGAGTGCTCATGCCGTAAAAAACTAAGATCCTCCTCCGGGGAATAAGTATCATGTTCATCAGACATGACACGACTAGATGATTTCAAAACTAACGTTTGACTACTGTGGGACACAACAAGCTCCATAGGTTTATGTCTAGGTGTCGACTTTCCTGAACTGGTAGCCTTGGTACCACTCGGCCGACCTGAGTATTCATCACATTTATTAGCATAACGTCTGGAGTACACCTCATCATCTACATCTACATCATTATTGTACAAGAGAACATCAGACTGTCTCCTTTGCAGATATTCACATGTATCTTCATCTTCAATCTCAGTCAAATTGTAAGTGTCGGCAGAATCGACACAGGAGGCTTCACAACTGGAACGCTCTCTAATGCTGTTCATGGAGGTGCTTCCAGTCTCCAAACCAGAATCATGGTTTAAATTTAAACTGTCCATTTCGATAAGTACAAAAGATTTATACCAAAATATATTTTAACTCCATAACACCTGCAAATGAAAGAGACAATGTGAGAGGAATTCTGTTTGTGAAAATAATTGTAAACAATAACAACAAGCAAACAAGCGATTGTTATAGAAGTCGACGACATTTGAAAATCACATGCATGGGAATGATAACATAAATAATAGTTGCAATAATAACACATCGCACACTAATTCTTTAGCAATTTCAACATTCTTAAACTTTGCAAAGAAGAGTGTATGTTTTCGTCAAAAAATCCGACTTGCTAAAAAAATATAACATAGCATAAGTTTTTTAACTAGCTGTAGGATAACTTATTGTAATCGCACAAAAATCTATATGAAAAATATTCAATTTGTAATAACGGGAAGAAGTCGTGTTAGATTTTGGCAAAGGCATATCCACCCGTTTCGGAGATACCGAGCTAGGAGTGCAAAAAACAACAGTTTTGGAAAGAACTAAGCATCTTATTTGAATGATTCAAAAACTTTCTACTTGTTTTGCCACAATAATTGCTTTTGAAAAAAAAATGCTTCAAAATTTTCTTCACCATTTTTCTTTTCTCGAAATTTTTTTTTTTTTTTTGTACATCAAAAATAATTCAGATTTTAATTTTAATTATGGCTAAAGTTCTAAAGCTCACTTATATACTTTAAAAACATAATTGAAAATTGAATTTCTAAGAATTAAACTGAATTGCAAAGTTAAAATTATTTATATCGGGTATATAAGTGAGCTGCAGAATTTTAGCTAGAATTTAAAATTAAAATCCGAATTATTTTCGATACACAAAAAAAAATTTGAAAAAAAAAATTGAAAAAAAAACTGATTTTTTTTCCAAAAGCAATTATTTTGTCGAAACAAGCAGAAGGTTTTTTGAATCATTCAAATTGGATGCTTAGTTCTCACAAATTGTACATTTAGCTCTGTATCTTCGAAATGGCTGGACCTGCTTCTGCCAAAAACTAATCACCTCTTCTCCCAATCATTACAAATTGAATGTTTTTTGGATCATTCAAATCGGATGCTCTGCACTCTCAAAAACTCGATTTCCATTTTCTTCACTCTTTGCTCTCTACCTCCGTAACGGCTGGACCTGCCTTTGCCAAAACTAATCAGCACATCTACCTATCAATAGGAATCGAATGTTTTTTGAACCATTCAAATCGGTTGATCCGTGCGCCCGAAAACGTGGATGAAAAAATGCGGACGCACAAAACACACACACACCTCCATTTTTTCTGAGGTGTGCCAAAATGTTCAGAAACCTCTGGAACGTGAAAATATGCAAAAAAAATTCATTTTCGATTTTCGGCCCGTTACTATAATCACCCTATGGGAAGTTAAAAATGTATTTTATTTAAGTGTGGACGTCAACTGTAATCAGTAGCGCAACACCACAGAACATGCACGTGTTTCAGTATAGATTCCGATTAGAATTAGAAAACGTTAGTCCTTATCGAGTTACGCACACATACTTTTTCCTAATTGGGTCTCATTCGAATTACTTGAAACGATGAGAAAATATAAAATTATCAAATCGGATTTTTTTGCGAAAACACACATACACATTTCCATAAAAAGTCTTGAACCGATTTGGAGAATTCGAATGCTATCACTTAGGAATTGTTCTGATTATTTTTTGGTAAAGATCTAATGCCAAGCAGTTTCTTTCAAAAAAAAATATGATCAAATTATGAAAGGTTGCAAATTGTTAGAGTGCATGGTTTGAACCAATGATTCCCAAAGTGGTCCACATGGACCCCCTCGGGTCCACAATTTTCAAGAGGGCCCACAACAACTTCAGAGAAGAAAAAAATTGGGGTTCCCGAAATGATAATGGGAGTCCAAAGTAGGCATTCGATTTGTGGTTCACCGGTGATTTCCAAAGGAGTCACATTACAACTTTCAAGGTGTCCATGTTAGTGAAAAAAAAAATCAGGGTCCACGAAATGAAAATGGGGGTCCACAATAGTGGATCACAACACAGCACATATCTATTTATTTATATTGCACTATAAAAGAAGTCATATGCAATATTTATAAATAGAGCTAAAAAGTAAATAAATATATTGTTTTTTTTCATAAAAATGTGTAAGTTGTAGCAAACTTAGGCATTCGATTTGTGGTCGCAGTGTGGATGAGCTTATAAAGACCCAAATTGATCACTACTGAAAAGCTTCACAATATATCTTGTGCTTTTTGAGACTGTCGTAATATTTCTTGATACTAAAGATGAAAAACTAATTAATAGTTGTAAAATATAATGTAGAAACAAAGTTTAATGTTGTTACTGATATAACAAAAACAGGTTTATATAATAGACATCATTAGCCGGGAAATGTAACTTTAAACATTACAAAATTGTTGCCGAATATTGATAATTAAATATGTATATGTATTTACTTTTCTTTTTCTTTATTCAATTAATTTAAGTATTGAATAATAAACTTTGGTACAATTTGAAATTTATAAAAAAAGAAGCAATATTGAGAAAAGGGGAGATCCATGAGAATGCCCAAAGGGTCCATGGCACAGAAAAATTTGGAAACCTGGTTTAAACAAGCATCCTAAAACATCATAGGCCTTCAAAAAGTGATTTGATTATAAAAAGTCATTATATTTGGGGTCCATAAAAAAGCCCAAAAGGTCCACGGCTTAAAAGAGGTTGGAAAACTGGTTTAAACAAACACCATACAATATTATAGGCCTGCAAAAAGTGATTAGATTATAAAAATTTATTGTGTTTAGGATCCATAGAAATGCCCAAAGGGTCCACGACACATAAAAGGTTGAAAACCTGGTTTAAACAAACACCATAAAATATTACAGGCTTGCAAAAAATGATTTGATTATAAAAATTTATTATTTTATATAAATATTTATATTTTTATATAAATATAAATATAAATATAAATATAAGGTCCATAAGAACACCCAAAGGGTCCACAACACAAAAAAGGTTGGAAATCTAGGGTTTAAACGAATACCTTGAAATATCATACTCCTGAAAAAGTGATTTGTTTATACAAATTAATTATATTTGGGGTCCATAAAAAGCCCAAAGGCTCCATGGCACAAACAAGTTTGAAAACCAGGTTTAAACAAACACCATGAAATATTATAGGCCTGCAAAACGTGATTTGATTACAAAAATTATTGTATTTGGGATCCATAGGAAAGCCCAAAAAGTCCACGGAGCAATAAAGGTTGCAAACTTAGTTTGGGCAAACACCATAAAATATTATAGGCTTGCAAAAAGTGATTCGATTATAAAAATTCATTATATTTGGGGTCCACAGAAAGTCCAAAGGGTTCATGGCACAATAAAGGTTAGACACCTGGTTTGAAGAAATACCATAAAATACAATAGGCTTGCAACAGTGATTTGAATAAAAAATTCATTATATTTGGGGTCCATAGAAAAGCCCAAAGGATCCACGGCACAAAAAAGTTGTAAACTTGATTTAAATGAAACACCATAAAATATTATAGGCCTGCAAAACGTGATTTGATTACAAAAAGTCATTATATTTGGGGTCCACAGAAAAGTCCAAAGGGTTCTCGACACAAAAAAGTTGGAAAATCTGGTTTAAATGAACACCATAAAATACTAAAGACTTGCAAAAAGTGATTTAATTATAAAAATTCTTCATATTTGAGGTTAATAGGAAAGCCCAAAGGATCCACGACACATAAAAGGTTGGAAACCTGGTTTAAACAAACACCATAAAATATTATAGGCCTGCAAAACGTGATTTAATTACAAAAAGTCATTATATTTGGGGTCCACAGAAAAGTCCAAAGGGTTCTCGACACAAAAAATTTGCAAAATCTAGTTTAAATGGACACCATAAAATACTAAAGGCTTGCAAAAAGTGATTTAATTATAAAATAAAATCATATTTGGGGTTAATCGGAAAGCCCAAAGGGTCCACGACACAAAGAAGATTAGAAACCTGGAAACCTAGACCTGCAAAAAGTGATTTCATTATGAAAATTTATTATATTTGCGGCCCATAAAAAAGCCTAGAGTTCTCAACACAATAAAGTTTGAAAACCTGATTTAAACAAAAACCATAAAATATTATAAGCCTGCAAAAAGTGATTCAATTAAACAAATTCATTATATTTGAAGTCAACAGGTAAGCCCAAAGAATCCATGGCATAAAAAATGTGGAAAACTGGTTTGCAAAAACTGATTCGATTATAAAAATTTATTATATTTGGAGCCCATAGCAAAGCCTAGAATTCTCGAAACAAAAAAGTTTGAAAACCTGATTTAAACAAAAACCATAAAATATTATAGGCCTGCAAAAAGGGATCCGATTATAAAAATACTTTACATTTAGGGTCTATAGGAAAGCCCAAAAGATCCAGGGCACAAAAAAGTTATGAACTTGGTTTAAACGGACACCACAAAATATTAGAGGCCTGCAGAAATTGACTCGATTACACAAATTCATTACATTTATGGTCCTTAGGAAAGCCCAAAGAATCCACGGCACAAAAAAGTTTGAAAATCTGGTTCAAAGAAGCACTATAAAATATTATAGATCTGCGAAATGTGATTCGTTTATAAAAATTCATTATATTTGGGGCCCAAGGTGTCCATTGCACAATAAAGTTTGGAAAATATTATAGGCCTGCAAAAAGTGATTTGATTATAAAACATTAAAGTTTGGAATAATTCGCGTTTTTAATAAATACATCTTGCTTGTATTAGTGGCGTGTCGTTTTTCATTAAATGATGTATAATAATTGAACTCTTTGTCGACATTAACTAACATTCGCACTAAATTTTATAAGGTGCAGTATGAGGCCTAGGTACACTTATAAATCACTCATAAATTAATATTTGATTGCTCATTGATTAATAAAAATTAACTATTAACACATCCATAGAGTTCATACAACTTGCTTTAAGGCTAAATACCACTTACACATAATTTTAATTACAATTAAACAAATCTTTGCACATATTGAACAACTACTAACACAACGTGAATTATAATTATTATGTAATGTATGATTGCAATAAATACGTACTATTTTCGTTGAACAATTCGGCACGAATGTTTTTATTAAATTTTGCTGCCAGACAAAGAATTAAATGCATTTTCGAGTCTTTAATATCTGACAGTATTGTGACATTTCTTGTGCCGCGCCATTTTTGTTTCGGAATTGAAAAGTGTTGCCATAAAAAGAAAAATGATTTTGGTGTTGTCACCTATGAGATTAGAATAAATCGTACCGGGATTTATGAATTGAATTTGTTTGTTTCCTTGCAAATTTTTTGCTTTGCAGCGGTGTTTTACTCGAGAAATGATACGCTTCAAGTCCTTAAGACTTACATGCAGAGATTTATTCAACTTGTTAGAATACAGTGATTACAGATGGGGCGCATGGCATCGTGCCTCAAGGCAAAATTGCTGGAACTTCCCGTACCAAAAATTATAATACATAGTATTACACAGTATTACTTTTTGTAATACTTCACATATCTTTTGTAATACTTTTTAACTAGTGGTGTATGGCATCGTGCCTTAAGCCAAATTGCTGGAACTTCCCGTACCGTAACGAAATGTTCGAGGAATATTAAATGTTTTCAAATAATCTAGATTATAAATACTGGTAGCACTGTCTAACATTTATAAGAATTATATAAACTGAATTGCAAAGTTAAAACTATTTATTTAAAGTATACAAGTTTTTAGAACTTTAGTCAGAATTAAAATTAAAATCTGAATTATTTTCGATATACAAAAAAATTTGAAAAAAAAATTGAAACAATTTTTTTTTTCAAATGTAATTATTTTGTTAAAACGAGTAGAAAGTTCTTTGAATCATTCAAATCAAACATACAAAACACACACACATCTATTTTTTCTGAGGTATGCCAAAATGTTCAGAAACCTTCAAATTTGTATATTTTTAAAAATTTTGAAAAAAGAAGTTCTGAAAATTTTGAAATTTGTGTGAACCATATAAGTAAACTTGGAAAATTAAAAATCTCGGTACAGAAACCAAAAAAAATTGTAACAGTTCATTTTTCATTTTTAAAATCTCTAAAAATAACATAATTTGATGAGCTTATGTCTAATGATCATTCTTGACCGACAAATATTTCCTCTTTACTTTTTCCTCTGTATCTCCGAAACCGTTGGACCTGCTTTACGAAAAATTTCATCAGTTCGTCAACACAAATAAAATGTTTGTTGAATGATTCAAATCGGACGCTCCGTTCTCTCAAAAAATAATTTACAATTTTTAGCACTTTTTGCCCCGTATCTTCGAAACGGCTCGACCTGCCTTTATCAAAAACTAATCAGCAAGTCTCCTTATCAATACAAATCGAATGCGTATTGAATTAATCAATTCGATTGACCCGTGTTTCCGAAATCGTCGACGAAAATTTGTATCAGTACATACACACATACATCCATTTTTTTAAGGTATGACAATATGTTCATAAAACATTAAAACGTAAAGATATGCAAAATTTTTATTTTTCGATTTTTTTTTGCGATTACTATATAACTTAGCCTACGGAAATTTAAAAAAAAAACTATAATTAACCAGTTATCTATCAGGTTAAAAATGTTTGAAGAAATTAGAAAATGTGGTAGACATTATACTTATGTTTATCTATTGAGGTAATTATGTTAAAATTGAGGGTCGCAGGCATGTATTATTTTAACTCGCATTTAAAAAAAATAAGAAAATTAATCCAATACTTAAAAAAATAATAAGTGTTTAAATGGTTAATAAGTTTATTTAAGTTAATAAGTTTATTAATAAGTGTTAGAAAATATGTTTTTTATGTAAAATCGAATTTTATAAGTAATGATTTATGAGTATGTAAAAAATCGAATTTTATAAAAAACTTTTCCTGGCAGTTGGAAGGAATTCCTTCAAAATTGTAGGCCAATTGTCAAGCCTTGAAAAATATAAACTTAAGTCAATGTAAACTTAAGTGAATCATTTTTCTGGTAAACCTGTTTTAATACTATAAATTGTATAATATTTCTTTTCAGAAAATCTCGTAATTTTGTGTGCTCATTATTGAAATTTTTACTGATGCGCGTTCCAAAGATATGTTTGTGTTGTCTGTTATAACTCGAAATAAATTATTCGAGAAAATATTCTCTTCGATCGACACTAAATTTAGGATCTTAATTTAAATAACCTAAAGAAAATATAATCTAAAAAATATTCTATAAATATAAATGAGTATAAAATTATACAAATGAGTGCTTTTAGAGTACAGGATTTGAAATAAATACGTTTTCCAAAAAATAGTGTGATAAAGCCAAAAACAGTATTTTCATATTAACATTTCAAAAAAAAATATATTCTGAGTACTTTCGAAACGTTTAATAATGTTTTTGTGTACAAATGAAACTACTCACTACAATTAAATGATATTCATCTAAAACACCCTATTAAATTTAATTGATCATAATCAGTCAAAACCATTTGATGTTTGACGTATGAGCCGCCACCGATTGTTTCATTTTGAATTGGGCTCCTACCAAAAATTTTATATTGAAACGTAAATTTTCTACGAGGTTTTAAAATAATATCTCAACTTTCCCACAACCTCTGGATTAGCACGAATTTTCCAAGACTAAAACTGGCCAAAAGCGTACAGTCTTTTTAGAGTTTTAGCATACCTAACATAATAACAATTAAGCAACAAGTTGTTATTTATTTATATTATATAAATCTATTAAATGTTGTTTATAAGTACCTCATAAGTAAGTGTGCCTTTTTTACGTTAATAAAATATAATATATATTCACGGATTCTTAATTCAAGGCATTATCATGAACAAATAAATTGTAAGAATGATTCACTAAATTATTTTAAATCCATACTTTTTTCTTGTGAATAATAATATACTGCTGACCAAGTTTGGTATTTGTATTTGAACCTGAAACTAATGATTGCTAATCCTCATTAATAATAATTTAAAAAAATTAAAATATGAATAAGAAATTATAAAACAAGATAGATATTATGTAGTGTTTACTGTGTATTTCATATAATTTATACATTACATTACATGCAAGAAAGTTTTACAATATTTAAATTGAAGTAAAGAAATATAATAACTTATATTTCATTGATCTTCACCACGCTTCTGACTATGAAGTGCCATATGTCTCTTCAAATCATTCGATTGTGTAAATTTCTTATTGCATATATTGCATTCATGGGGACGTACTCCACTATGTATCAGCATGTGTCTTTTTAGACTACCTGATCGCGTGAATGTCTTGTTGCATATATTGCATTCATGAGGACGTACTTCACTGTGTATCAGCATGTGACTTTTCAAATGACCGAATTGTGAAAATTTCTTATTGCATATATTGCATTCATGGGGACATACTACACTATGCATCAGCATGTGACGTTTCAGATTACCTCTTGTTGTGAAAGTCTTTTTGCATATATTGCATTCATGGGGACGCTCACCACTGTGAATGAGCATGTGCCTTTTCAGATGACTTAATCGATCAAAAGCCTTGTAACAGATTTCGCATTTGAAAGATCTTTCTTTGCTATTATTAGGCATATGTTCGATCATATGCTCTTTTAAATGATGTGTTTCTGCAAATGATCTATTGCAAATATCACATTCATAAGTTGATGTCTCGAATAACTCCTGTTTGACTTCTTCAATTTTCACCTCGGAATTCATGAATCTTTCTAAACACGTATCATCATCTTCAGAACACGAATCAGATTTAACAATAACATCAGGATCATCAAATTCATCCTCCATTTCAAGTTTAATGTCTTCTGGTGAATATTCTGGTGGTTCAATTTTAATTGTCTGATCATTCATAGACATAATTGTTTCTTCCGACATTTTTAAAAATTTTCATAAAAAAAATAAAAAATGGTCTAGTTTTACCAATAATTCTTTTCAATGTGATAAATAATTTCAAAACTTTTACATTTATTATTTGACATTTGAAGCATAGAGAGAGAGTATATTTCTAGAAAGATGAGACATTAATCGTGGCGCGTCTTTTCAAATTCTTTATGGTTCTAATGTGTGTGACTGCAGCGCCAGACTAAATCTTAACTACGTCAAGCTATCAGTGTGCGCTTTTCATGTGTTTTTATATTTTTGTGTTATAAATAATAATAAACAAGTTACAACAAATAATAAACGCTCCTCGCTACACGTAAAGATGGATCCTACACAAAGGCCCAGACATAGCTACTACAATTCAAGAACATATCAATGGTTGCCAATAATTATAAGAACAGAATTGACGTCCATCCTAATCAACTAGCATGTCATTTATACCAGAAAGTCCAGCCGATCAGGCTCAAAAGTTAAATACCTGGAGACCTATTATAATTTAATTAACTATATTACTTTCATTTACTACATTTTATTGTTTTTCCCCCTTTTGTTTTTATTTTTTTTATTATATTAGCTCTAGTAGATACGCTACTGGAGGTATCTACTAATTTGTAAACAATTAATTGTAAACAACTTATCGGCATTCTTTCATAAATGTAATTATATTTATAGATTAAAAATTAAATGAAAAAAAAAAAAACAAAAAAGTTAAAGTTGAATAGTTATTGGCATTTTAAAATTTACTTCACAATACACTTAAATCACAGGTAAGTACAATGATATAATGATAAAATAATGATAAATAATGATTAAAATGATAAAATAATGATAAAATGATAAAATAAATAAAACTGTGCTGTAAACAATTATAAGGTTGTGTTGCTTAACTTATGTAAAAACATCGGTATAGTTTTCAAAAACAAAGCTATAATAATGATAAAAATATTTTATCAATAGGATAAGTAAATAAAATTTACTAATTTTTTAAAATATTTTTCGTCATACTAAAGACGAACATTATTATAAAGACATGATTTGAATCCATTACCCATCAAACAAAATTCCAGCCGGAAACAATGACCAAAGGAAAAAATTATATTAACTTTTCGAGACTTGTAAATTAAAGGAAATATTGTTGGGAATTAGCTAGGACTAGCAGTTCTTTTGATTTTTACATAAAAAGGTTACTATAAATACAATCATATGGCTTGGGAACCCATGGTGATTCATCAACACTACAAAATATATATTATTCATTATTTCAGCCTTGTATTAATTAAACCGTTTGCAAAATATTTTTTTTGCTTTTAATCAGTAAATTTTGATAATATAGCAATTTATTGACTTTTAAATTTTCTTTTTGCTAAACATAAAACTTTTACAACAATTTAAATACTCCGAATTGTTTTTTTTTTTCATAATAATAAGATTGATACTTAGAGACGGATTCTGTTGCATAACAGACAAATTTTACGACAAGGCCATGTTATGAAGAACTTTCTAAACTAATATTGACAAAAGCCATGCGGTTGGTGTGCAGTCAGGCAAATTTCACAAGTTATCTGATAGTAACCAAGAAGCCGCACAAATGTCAAAAAACGATGTCATGACAACTGTTTATGATAAGTGTGTTTCTGATACAGCTTCATAACATATGAGTGACGTTGCAGTTTTTGTGTAAAATACCTGAATGAACAGCAAATTTATGACATTTTGACAGTTTCAGTATGATTCATTAGCATAATGTATGGAAGTCGAAGCGTAACATGGCCTTGCCATAACATTTTACTTTTGTGCGGCAGAATCGGTTCCTAAGGGATTAAATTAGCTTTTCAACAGCAGCTATCCACTAGTTCACGTTGATTTAATTTCCATTTGGCTCTAGAAAATTTATAACATTTACACTGACTTTTCTGTTGTTTTTACAATCTACTACACAACAACTTTGGTGTCTCATTTTCAACTTCCCGTAGAGTAAGTTATTGTAATCGTCGTAAAAAATCGAAATTGAGAATTTTTGCATTTCTCGACGTTTTGAAGGTTTCTGAACATTTTGGCATTCCTAAGAAAAAATGGATGTGTGTTTTGTGTGTCCGCATTTTTTGTTCACGTTTTCGGTTCAAAAAGCATTCGATTCCTATTGATAGGGAGATGTGCTGACTAGTTTTGGCAAACGCAGGTCCAGCCGATACGGAGATACGGAGCAAAGAGTGCAGAAAATAGAAATCGAGTTTTTAAGAGAACGGAGCATCCGATTTGAATGATCTAAAAAACATTCAATTAGCAATGATTGGGACAAGTGGTTATTAGTTTTTGGCGAAGGCAGGCCCAGCAATTTCAAAAATACAGAGCTAAATGTGCAAAAAATGGCAATTTTTGAGAAAACTAAGCGTCCGATTTAAATGATTCAAAAAACTTTCTGTTTGTTTTAACAAAATAATTGATTTTGGAAGAAAAAAATTTTTTTCCGTTTTGTATATCGAAAATAATTCAGATTTTATTTTTAATTCTGACTAAAGTTCTAATATACTTAAAACAAATAATTTCAACTTTGCAATTCAGTTTATATAATTCTTATCAATATTAGACAATGTTACAATATTTATAATAATCTATTTGAAAACATTCAGTATTCCTCGAACATTTCGTTACGGTACGGGAAGCAATTTGCCTTAAGAAACGATGCCATACACCCCACTAGTAATTTAAATTATTTAAACATTTGAAATAAAATAATATTTTACGCGTATTTGTTTACTATTTTAGTTAAAATAGCCTCACGTAGTACTCAAAATGACTACTACGAGCGCTTCAGATAATTTGAGTTTTCCTTGCATGCCTTCACACATAGCGAATATGTTTCTACTCTCTCTACTGCTGTAAATGAACTCTATGCTTCAAGTGTCAAATAACAAATGTAAAAGTTGAAATTATTTAATACATTGACTAAAATTATTGGTAAATCTAGACTATTATTTAGCACACAAATATTTTATAATTTTTTTGTGAAAATATTTAAAAATGTCGGAAGAAACAATTATGTCTATGAATGATAAGACAATTAAAATTGAACCACCAGAATATTCACTAGAAGACATTAAACTCGAAATGGAGGATGATTTTGATGATCCCGACGTCATTGTTAAATCTGAATCGTGTTCTGAAGATGATGATACGTGCTTAGAAAGATTCATGAATTCCGAGGTGAAAATTGAAGAAGAAGTCAAACAGGAGTTAGTCGAGACATCAACTTATGAATGTGGCATTTGCAATAAATCATTTGCAGAATCAGATCATTTAAAAAAGCATATGATCGAACACATACATAATTATAGCAAAGAAAGATATTTCAAATGCGAAATCTGTTACAAGGCTTTTGATCGATTAAGTGATCTGAAAAGGCACATGCTTATTCACAGTGGTGAGCGACCCCATCGATGCAATATATGCAATAAGACGTTCATACAAATAGGTAATCTGAAAAGTCACATGCTGATACACAGTGGAGTACGTCCCCATGAATGTAATATGTGCAATAAGAAATTTACACGATCTGGTAATCTGAAAATACACATGCTGATTCATAAACAAGAGCATTATGATAAACGTAGAGCATGTAATAAAGAATTTACTCAATCGGGAGATTTGAAGAGACACATGGCACTTCATAGTCAGAAGCATGGTGAAGATTAATGAAATATAAGCATATTTGTTTACTTAAATTTAAATATTGTAAAACTTTCTTGCATGTAATGAAATGTATAAATAGTATGAAATATACAGTGAACACTACATAATATCTATCTTGTTTTAGAATTTCTTATTCATATTTTAATTTTTATAAATTAAGTATTATTAATGAGGATTCACAACCACTAGTTTCAGGTTTGAATACAAATACTCATCTTGGTCAGCAGAGTGTATTTGGACATTCACAAAGTTATATTTCACCAAATATGGATTCAAAATAAATTAGTGAATCAATCCTACAATTTTGTATATGTGCTGCCAGATAAGTTTGTTGAAAATGCCTCGAATAAAGAATCTGTGAATATATATTATATGTTATATTTTATTAATGTTAAAAGATGTACATGTGCTTATGAACAATTCAAATAGCTTTATATAATATAAATAAATAACAACTTGTTACTTAATTATTATTCTTATATATAAAAATAGAGCTCGTTATGTTAGGTATGCTAAAACTCTAAAATGGCTGTGCGTTTTGGCCAGTTTTAGTCTTAGAAAATTCGTGATAATCCAGAGGTTGTGGAAAAGTTGAAATATTATTTCAAAACCTCGTAAAAGCATTACATTTTCAATATAAATTTTTTTATATTGCGGCTCATACGTCAAACGTCAAATGGTTTTGACTGATTATGTTCAATTAAATTTAATAGGGTGTTTTAGAAGAATATTATTTAATTGTAGTAAGTAGTTTTATTTATGGACACAAATATTATTAAACAGGCCGCAAGTGTTATTAGAAACACATAGTATCGAATTTTTTGAAATGTTAATATGGAAATACTGTTTTTAGCTTTATCACACTCTTTTTTGGAAAACTTATTTATTTCAAATCCTGTACTCTAAAAGCACTTATTTATATTTATAGAACATTTTTTAGATTATAGTTTCTTTAAATTAAGATCCTAAATTTGTTTTAATCCTCAACCGACTTGAATAATTCAATAAACATATATAACACATAAATCCCGACATATAAATAACATCAAAATTAAAAATATCTTAAGTTACTAATGCATTTTGCATTTGATGTGTGAAATGAGATGCAGACATCAGTCGTCTGCATCGCCAGGCGACAGGCTATCGTACCAGAATACGAGACGATACGATACCCTTACAAAAAATAGTTCGGATTACCACTATTGGAAAACCTTAACACCAACAAATCCACTGACTAGAACAAATTTAGAGAACTGCTCGATAACAACTTAAATTGTAATACGTTAATAAAGTCAGAAAACGACATAAATAACGCGGTAAATCATCTCACCGAAACACTACATCAATCGGCACTAAATAGCATTCCTTCAATTACAATCACTAATGAACTTAATTATCCACTATACATCAAACAACATATTGCAATTAAAAAAAAGACTTCGAAAAATATGGCAAACATCAAGATCTGCTCAAGATAAAACAAGATTGAACAGTGCCTGTAAAGAAGTAAAAAGATTACTGAAAGAATGCAACAACAACGTATTTGAAAAAAGAATCAAAAACCTGACGGCTACTAAGGACACAAATTACTCCATATGGAAAGCTACTAAACATTTCGAACAACCTATACTACCAGTAATCCCTATTAGAAGAAATGATAACACTTGGGCAAAAAGTCATCAAGAAAAGGTCGATTTATTTGCTGATTTCTTTGAAAATGTATTTCAATCACTTCCGTAAAACTACTTCCAGGAGGTGAAAATCACTGAAGAAATACAGTTTGGAAACTTTTCCAACCAAGAGTGTACTCAAGCCCGCTTCCTGGTATCGGAAGTAAAACATGAAATTACAGATTCAAAATCAGGTAAATATCCTGGCCATGATCTTGTATCAATCCAAATCCCGAAGAAATCACAAGATACGTCATCAAGTACAGACATCAACTGAAGAACCACCCTAACGAGCTCGCCGAAGTCTATAAAAAAAATGCTTTTAGGCTTAACTAACGCATAACATTATGCCAATTTATATCTGTATTTTTTTTAATTTAGAAGAGATTGCAACTGTGCACTCTTCCAAGCATTTCCAAATTTACAATATGTGTTTATAATTAATAATCTATTTAAAATTATTTAAAACAATTATTGACTATTTTCATTCCTCGAATTTTTAATTACGGTACGGAAAGTTCTAGCCATTTGTCTTAAGACATGATGCCATGCACCACTATTTTTTAAAGCGATCGCACTGCGCAGTTGTTTTGGATACAAAATATCTAAGCGCATTGCGGTCTAGCGTTTAAACATTACGAATCTTGAATACGAATTACGGAACCTATAGAAATATAAACAAAATTCGTATTTATTTTTAAAATCTATAAAGATATCTAATAATTTGATGTGCATATGTGTAATGATAATTTTTTATGGTCAAATGTAATTTTTCTAAAACTTCTTTTATAAGATCTCCGAAACCGCCTTCTGAAAATTTTAATCAGTTCTTCATTTCGTCATTATAAGTAAAATTTATTTAAATCAAGCAAATCAGAAGCTTCGTTTCCTCAAAAACTGAAAAACCATTTTTGGCAGTATCTCCTTTTTAAGACACCCCAACAAAGCATGAAAACTCTTAAAAATAAAAAGTCAGTAATACATAACATATTGGCAGAGTTTCCAAATTTATTCAAACCGTCTGGAACACCACGCAAAATAAAGCACAAAACAACGCATTCAATAATCACAACACCAGGCCCACCAGTGTCCCGCCATCCACGACGTCTTGCGCCTTATCGTTACAAGATCGCAAAGGCCGAATTCGAAGTAATGCTCCACGAAGGAACAGCCCGGCGTTCATGGTCTTCGCCCTTACACCTAGTCGAATAGAAAGATGGAGGATGGCGGCCTTGTGGCGACTACCATGCACTCAATGCACGAACTGTACCAGACAAGTACCCAATTCGTCACATCCACGACTTCTCCGCCAATCTACAAGGATGCACAATCTTTTCAGTGATACACTAGGTCAAAGCGTATACGCAAATACCGGTCGAAGAACGAGATATTCCAAAAACAGCAATATTCTCACCCTTTGGTTTATACAAATTTCCATTTATGTCCTACGGTTTGAGGAACGCTGGACAGAACAAACTTTTCAACGTTTCATTGACGAGTTATTGGACGGATTAGATTTTGGTTTTGCTTATATTGACATTTTAGTTTTTTTTCAAACAATGAACAAGAACATCGCTATAGCATGTACGTGTAATATTCGAACGCCTAGCTAGTAATGCAATATTAATTAATGAGACAAAAAGCACTTCTTGTGCTTCGCAAGTCTATTTTCTAGGTTATGAAATTTCCGCAGGTGGCACCAAACCACCATCTACTAGACGTATATATAGAAGATGTAAAGAATTTTCGGGAATGATGAATTTTTATCGTCGTTTCATTCAGAATGCAGCATCACATCAAACAGCACTCCACGAGGCGTTAGCAGGCATAAGAGGCAATCAAACAATCACGTGGACTCCAGAGCTAGACCAGGCATTTCAATGCTGTAAAGAAAGTTTGAGTAAAATTACATTGCTACAATCACCCAATTCACGGCGCTTTATTGGGACTTTTCACAGATGTCTCTTAAACAGCTGTAGGAGCCTGTCTGCAACAACTGGTTAACAACAAGTGACAACTTGCTGCAGAACTTAAACGCCTTTTGATGCAAGACACCAAACTACAATTAGAAAAAATTCCAGTACCAGGCACAAACATAAATTTGTTTTGCGACACGGCGAAGGCACAGCCACGGCCTTATATCCCGGCACCATTGCGGAGCAAATATTTAACTCATTACATGGTTTGAGTCACCCTGGGATACGAGCATCTTCGCATCTTATTTCTGTACGGTACGTATGTAGGGCTAGAGTAGAGCATGTCAGGATTGTCAAAAATCCAAAATAAGACGGCATGTACAAGCACCTCACGGAACATTTCCCTTGCCAACAGCAAGATTTGCACATGTACACATCGATATAATTGGTCCTTTACCTTCTGTTAACTCTTATAAATATTGTTTGACAGCCATTGACCGATTTACCAAATGGCCAGAAGTATACCCACTACAAGGAATATCTGCAGAAGAAGTAACGGTTGGATTTTTATCATGCTGGATATCCCGTTTTGGAGCTCCAGTCAAAATAACGACTGATCGAGATACTCAATTTGAATCTGAATTATTCAGATCATTAAACAAATTGACAGGTACCATTAGGATCAGGACTTGCAGCTATCATCCATGTTCCAACGGACTAATAGAACGCTTCCATCGACAACTCAAGGCTGCGATAATGTGCTACAATCTCTGATTGGAAGCACTTCCGCTAATTCTATTAGGCATTCGAAACGCTTACAAACCTGATATCAAGACGTCAGCATCTGAAATGGTGTATGGTTAATCACTTCGCCTTCCTGGAAAAATTTTTGAATTACAAAAAAATTCTCAAAATTTAAGACATCCGGCTGAAATACTTTCGAGACTTCGACAACACGTAGCGCATCTTCAACCAAGTAAATCTAGTAAACACACAAACAACAAACCATTTATTTTTCAGGACCTACAAATATGCACGCTTATTTTCCTCCACGACGATACTATCAGGAAGTCACTCCAACAATCATATCAAGGTCCATACGAAGTTCTTAAGAGAGATGATAAAACAGTAACAATACGAACACAGAAAGGCAGTACACGGGTGTTCATCGATCGCATCAAACCAGCCTACATCATCGCAGATCCAGTAGACCAAAGCAGAGAACAACTATTTCACTCGATCAGGTCGAAAAGTTCATTTTTGAATACCATGACCTCCAGTCTCCGCGGGGGGATCCTGTGGGAACCATCTATATAAGAGGTTTGACAACTCATGGCGTCACCAGTTATGCCTCAACTTCAATTGTCACCGCTTGTGGGACCCGCCCACGTGGCACCAGATGGCACCACGATATATA